GAAGCCACCAACTTAGAAGATTTTACAGAACAAAAAAAGGTTTTTGAGACCAGATCTCACTATGTTATCCAGGTTCTGTTGTTCTCCTAGGCTTCAGTAATACTAGTATCTCAGTCACCCAATCCAGCATGTATCACTGCACAGGGTTTTGGAGGACAAAAGTAATCAAAGCATCTGAACAAAATGAGTAAAACAAAAACAGAAAATAGGGTAGCAATAACAGAGCATCAACACAAAAAAGAATGACAGGATAAAAAGATGTACCAGAGTATGTCATTTCTGGCCAAAAATTAAAAGTACAGTATATAAATTCAGCTATTCCTAAAGCCAATATGCCAAGAATTCTAAAAGAATCCATTCTTAGTATACTTGACATTTGAATTCACTGGAGACAAGTTCAGAATAAAATTCTACTTCAAACATTAGTTTTAGAGTTGGAACCCTAATTATGAGAAAGTGCTCAGGAGTAAAAAACATGAGATATATGCATGCAAAGTGAGTGTAATCTGTGTCTTTCATACCTAATTAAACTAGTGCCTGAACTTTCCATTATGTTTGAATCTGATTTTTGACAACATGAATGACAGAAATAAACTCAAGCAAGAGTGGTAGTGGTAGAACAAAAAATACAAAAGTTATCAGATCTCCCCACCCTCTCCAATGAATTACAAAAAAACCCTCTAGCTACACCTCAGACTCACCTGTTTGAATGCCCAGTTCCTTTGCCAAACTTACTCTACTATAATCTAGAGTAAAATCTAGGTGAATATATTTTGAAAACAAACTCTATAATGTTTCTGATGTACAACTGATGCAGAAACTGTTAGGAAGTAACTGAGAATAAAATTAGAAACCCAGCTGGGCACAGGTGGCACATACCTGTAGTCCTAGTGTTTAGGAAAGAGGCTGACTGATATGGGAGAATCACGAGCCCAACAGTTCAAGGCCATACTAAGCTAACACCTAGTCTCAAAACTAAGAGGAAACTGGGCACTAGTGATTCATATCTACTAGCTACTCAAAGCCAGTACCAGCAGGAAAGGTGTGAGACTCTCACCTCCAATTAGCTACCAAAAAAATCTGTCGTATTTTGATAAAGACGGCATTGTCTGCTTAAAAAAAAAAAAAGGAAATAGAGCCATGGCTCAAAGAGGTAGAGCACTAAATCGTAGTCTTGAGCAAAAAGGTTCAGGGACAGTGCCCAGGCCCTGAGTTCAAGCTCTAGAATGGTGCAATAAACAAAATAAATGGAACCTTATCCTTTCTCCCTCCCCCCTCACTCACACATATACACACACATAGTAGGTGGTTAAGGGCTATGGATCTTAATATGTTTCAAGAATAAATTTTAGGTAAGTTAAAGTGGTTATCACTTTGTATTCAACAAAAAAAATCTGAACCCCAATAAAGTGTTAGAAAATATAAGAAAATCTTCTTTTATATTAAAAATGCTCCTAGAATCATGTGGGGAAATGTTTGTTTGGGGACACAGCTCAGTGACAGAGCCCTCTGGCATACACATGCCCTAGATCCAGCACAGAAAAAGAAGAGTTCGTAAGATTTCACTAGTAGACTTCCTCTCTCCCCCCTACACAATTTTGCAGAATGGATCAAAGGGATTAAGAGACACAAACAACAAATAAGTGATACTACTCATTGTCAACCAATGTTAGAAAAAATGTATGTTACAAAATGCAAATGTTAACATCCTATAAGCCCAGCTAAGGAGGCCGTAGGTAGAAGGATCATTATAGGAAACTGGCCTGTGTAAAAAGCCCCAGGGAAAGGGCCACAGACCTAATCTGAAAAATAACTAAAGCAAAAAGAAAGGTTGGAGGTATGTGTGAACTGGTAGAGCCAAGGCCTTTAGTTCAAACCCTAATTCCTGATACTGTCTGTTTCTCTCTCATGCTTGGCAAAGTACTATTTGCTACAGAATTTTAATATCTCCATTGACCAATCAAGGTATTTCTCAAATTGTAGTTGTTGTTTTTTTTTTTTACTAGTAATCAGTACTCCCACAAAAGTTGAAATACCACTCAGACATCAGCCTTTTTAGGTACAATGGAAACAATACTACCTACATAACACAATAAATGGAAATGTTTACCAGTGCTGACATATAATTAATATTTAGTCAATGATAATTGTGATAATGGAAAGCAGTTGGAAAAATTCATTTTCTTACTCATCCACTTGAAAGTTCTATAATAACATGTTAAAAAAAATAGCTCAGTGGTTTCAACTCTTGACTGCATGCCTGAATCATACAGAATGCATTTAAAATATTACTTGTGTCAGACCAAATTGATTAGCCTATGTGGTTGGGATCCAGAGATAAGGATTAAACAAACAAACATTTCTCCAAATGATTCTAATTCATAGAGTTGAAGACCAACACAATAATTCTTTCCCCAAATACTGTTAAGACTCTATATTACTATAATACAGAGCTTTCGAAGATACAGCTCCTAAAATACTCAAAAGGAAATTAGAATCTTGTTTCTCAGTTTTTGGAACGAAAAACATTTCAAAATTCAGAAAACTTATCAGCAGTAAAGTACATAAAATGCAGGCTATCATGAAAGTATATTTTCAGAACAAAAATTTAAAAAATCAAGCATATCAATAAACCACATCTATCCAGTTGACTGCCCCAAACACAAAGGACTAAACCTTTAACACACACTCCTTTATATTTCAAATAACTTTCTTTAATGCTTTAAATATTCATTTTCAAAGTTTAAAATCCCCAAAGCATAAAACTATTAGAAAATATCTCTTGAAATAAAAAAATGCTGAAAGACCACCTGCATGTGTCCAACCAATGAAGAAACAGGTAACTGGCAAACTCTTGACAGACACCCATTTTTAAAACTACAAAACTACAAAATCATGTCAAAGAAGAACAATCTCCAAGGAGACACTAAATATATCTTCTCCAGATATCAGAAAATGTCTTTCAAGATCCTGAGACAAAAGGTAAAAGTAAATCCTACTTGAGCATTCCACTGATATTAACAAAACCGTGAAATACCAACAAGAGATTCCAGTAAGTGGGAAAAGGTAAGATCTGCCCTTCAAAGTTACTTTCTGAAAGAATTCAAGATTCCCACATATACTGTTCTGCTTAATCTCTCCACAAATTCTCTTAATTACCAAGGTCAGAAAACAAAGGCAGAAAACAGCATCAGATAACTAGAAATACAAAAAGTTAAATATTCCTGTAAAAAATGAATAAATTTGCATTATCAAAAGTTGTATTTTTTAATAGAAGAAATCGAAATATACTGGAAAAAACCCATCAAAAACATTTTGAGCTCACCCTTGGAACACCAATTCCAAATACTTCATGAAGGCTTTCGTTCTACCCAAATACTGGAACAATAAAGTTCAAAGGGTTAAAGTTATAAGTATGACAAAGCACACAAATTTAAAATTTGAGAAAACAAATGGTAACATCTTTGTATAATTAATACTTAAATCTTCCAAGATAGAAGTTATTTGCTTTAACCCAAAATGGCAGCCTAGTGAATCAGAAGACAAGTGAGATCTAAAGGAGAGCCTGTAGTCTCTATTTTTAAGTTCAAGTATACGGATGAGTTAAGAAAGCCAAGCTAGTCATAGTTAACCAGTCCTTAAGGATAGACAACAAGCCTCAAGAGGGGATTAAGTACCTGCGTAAAGTTTCCTAATCCAATGCACCCCAAATTATTCTTTCTCAAAAGTGAAATTATACAAATGATATTTTAGGACACTTGTAGGTTTCCAGGTAAAAAGAAAGCTACAAATACCTCCCGCTTCCAAAAACAAAGCGTGAATATTTAACCTAAATCGACAACTTGGTCACAGTTAAATTCAAAGGCAATCTGAAGCAATTATATACACCTGTAAAGTGCACCGTGAAAATTTAATTAATGCTATAACCATCGAACTTCCAAAAACTAAAATGTTTAATTAAGTAGGATTTCCTAAAACAAGCAAAAACAACCAAACCAAACAAAAAACCCACCTTCAAATTCCTGTATAAATTCTCGTCCTTGCAGAAATTCATACAAATACCAAAAAACAAAAACAAAACAATGAAACAAAACCTCGTTATACACCTGCTCCTTAACTCTCGAAATATTTCCCAATGAATGAAAAAAATAAAACCGCGAATCAGACGTAAAGCCTCAAATGCCTAGAATCCGAAGGTTTTTCTCACTCACGAATTTGCCTTGTCCATGCTAATGGTTTTTGCAGACAGTTGAAATATTTTTTCGCGGCTCGGTGGCCTCGGGCAGATTGGGGGGGGGGGAGCCGAGGGCGGTGGAGACAGCCGATAAGCGGCCCTGAGTCCGCGACGAAACTGCGGGTTACCGTGGGAGGCTGGGGGGGGGGAGAGGGAGGCGGACAAGTCGTCAGGCCTAATGGCCAGGCGTAGCCGAGGCCTAGCTCTACTGCTTCAAATCACTCCACCTCAGTAATGGCGTTTGGTGTCAAGTGGAAGGATTTTGGGGGGGGGGGGGGCGGGGGGGCGTTGAGTGCCGCCGGGCCACAAGACTCCAGGGTGCGGGCCTCAGAGCTGGCTAGGCCTGCGGTGCGGATGGGGGGCGCTGCTCGCTGCTTCGGGAGACTCCATCCTCCCTTCTCAGCCCCAGACAGGACGGGGAGGGGGAGGGGAGGGGAGAGGAGGGGGAGGGGGAGGGGGGAGGGACAGAGCCGTCAGCCATTTTCCCTTACAGTCCAAAACACACAGACACGCTCCCGGGACACCGGCTTGCCATGGAATCGGGGGAGGGGAGGCCCGCGCGCAAACGCCTTGCCAGGGCTGCGGGAGGGGAGCGGGGACCCCCCTCTCCGCCCGCATCCACCGAGAAAGGAACCATAGACACACGCACCCGCGCGCGCGCACACACACACACACACACGCACACCCCCTCGTCCTCCTTCTCTCACCCACATCCAGCTGGTGGCCCCGGAAAGGCGCGTCGCCCCGGCGGGGCTTGGCTACTCACCGCACAACACGGGCGTCTTCTCAGAACCAGGACACGCGGAGGCGGGAGGCAGCAAAAGTCGGTCTCAAGAACAAGGCCTTAACCGGGGCGCATCCCAAACCTGGGGGAGACGGGCGACAAAAGTGTGTCGAGAGGCTGCCGGAGGGGGAGGGGGGGTGTCGGCTCCGGGCTTGAAAAATGAAAAGAAAAAAAAAAAAAGGCTGCACAGGGACAGCAGAAATCCGCTCCTCACCCTGCCCACCCTGAAGCGGCCCTGGCCGCAGCCGCCACCTCCTCCCCGCGGCCGGCGGCGGCCCTCTTCCCCCTTCTCTCCTCAGGCTGGGGCTCTCGCGGAGCCCAGTCAGGCTCCGGGCGGTGCGTTTCTCCTGCGTCACCTCCTCCTGCTCCTCCTCCTCCTCCTCCTACAGCGGCAGTTTCACCTTCCCCTAGTCGCCGCCTGTCCCCGCTCCCGGCCTGGTCGTTTTTGCCGCGGCTCACACCCGACACTGACTAGATTGACCGAGCGATAGAGCAGCCGCCTCCTCCCGTGAGAGAAAGAGAGAGAGAGAGAGAGAGGCGGCGGCAGCGGGCTCCCGCGAGGCCCGTGAGCTGCGCTAGACGGGAGGGGCTCGACACGGGGAGAAGGCCCAGGACTGGGCCAGCTGAGGAGAAGGGTGCAGCTCCGGGGGGCGGCGGAGACTACCTTCCGCAGCCCCGGAGACCAGTCCTCGTCAATATGGCGGATCCAGCAAGGCCAAAAAAAAAAAAA